GGGATCGTCGGTGAGCTCCCTGCCCAGCGGGCTCTGACCGCCCCAGGCCTGTCGGGGAGGCGGCGCCCGCCCCGCGGCACCTGCGCTACCCGCGGCGGTTCCGAGGATCCTTCCCCTTCGCGCGGAGCCAGGCTGCGGCCGAGCTCTGAACCGTCTGGTCACGGCGAATCTGCCGGCCTTCCAGAGCTCGGCCCCTCGAGCTGGGAGAAGGCGCCCAGGAAGTCCCCTCTGGAGCTCCGAACCAAAAAGCGAAGGAGGAGGAGGAGGCTGCGATTGAGGCCTTGAACCAACCCGCCTCCAGCACGCGCCTTTCTGCAGGGGAGCGCCCGCCCACCCGGCCCCACCCTTGCGGAGATGCGCAGCCCCAGGTCACTCTGGCAGCGTCCGGGAACAGTGGCGCGCGGGACCCGGGAGAAACCCTGCGGAGAGGGGCTGGGTTTCCCCTTCTGACCCTTTCCTCCCAGCAGTGATGGGCTAGAGGGGACTCGCGGCTCCATCTGGAACCTCGTTTCACCTCTCCCTTCAGTCGAATTCCCGAGACCCAGCCAAGGTCCAAGCCTCTGCGAAGCTGTCCCAGGCCTGCAGGCCCCGCCGGGCGCCGCCTGCCCCTGGCTTGCCAGTAATAGCTCCGACCTGCCTCTGTGATGACGCGCGCCCGCAGCGTTGGGGTTCGGAATCCTCGGGCCTGCCCTGCTCTCCCCGCGGACCTGGAAGTGCCTCAAGCGCAGAATAGAGTCCTGGGCTTAGCGTACAAGGCGACTAGCACCGGGCTGGCCCGTAACATTGATGCAATCAATGCCTAACGCGTACCAGACACTCAGCTAAGCTGCTTTTACACGGATAATCTCATGTAATTTTCAAAGCCAAAGTGATTAGTACATGAGTGTTTACATATATAAACATTCATTGAGTTGTACACTTAATATTTTTGGCGTTTTACTGTAGGTTAAAAAAAACTATGAGAGAAGTGCTATAAGCATACCCATTTTATAGAGAAGGAAACTGAGGTTCAGAGTGCTCCCAACTTACTCAAGGTCTCTACCGCTGGTTGTGGTGGTGCTGAGATTAGAATAGAGGCAGCCTGTCTCCAGAGTCCAGACTCTTAACCCCTCAAGATTAGGCTTTGCAGGAAAAAAAAATGCCGGCCTTCTAGAACCCATTTCACCTCTGCCAACAGTGGTGCCTACCCACTTCTTGAGCCCAGTGTGGCACCAGTCACTGGGAAGGGAGGGATTATCCACTCATTCAGGGAAGCAAGGAGGGTTTGAGCCAGAGGTGACCCCTGAAATCATCTAGTCCATCCTTCTCTCTGCCTTAGAGCTCAGACACCAGAGCCCAAAGGGGTGACTGACTTCACCTGCTCAAGTCTCACGGGTCATTAGAAGCCATGCCTGGATTTTAGGATTCCTCCTGGCTCACAAGACAGTCCAGTGAAGCAGCAGTTTGGGCCTGGGAGGGGGTCTTTCACCTTTCGATGGCCGAGGCCCTGGAACCCCAGCAAGGAGCAGTACGGAAATCCTTCATGGAAGAGATGGGAGCTATTTATACCCGGAGATTGCAGGCTCCAGGGAAGGGTAGGGAGCGGGGAGGGGTCTAGTCCAGGCTGGCTTTAAGTATTTCAAGACACGCAAACTGCGCGGAAGCCAATCCATAGAACCACCTCTGTTTCCTCTACAAGGGTCACACGCCTCTTTTCCAGAACAGGAGGGGATGCAGAGTGAAGGAAGACTAACGCGGGCCAGGAGGAAGCTGAGCAAGGAAGATGGGGATCTGCCACTGGGAGCGCTGAGAGGCCACGGCCCGGCAGGATACAGACTAGGTTGGAGAAGAAGGAGTTGCTTACTTAGGAAACCCCCAGAGGAGGGAGGGCGTCTGCTTCCAGAGCCTTGGGTTCCTAGTGCGCAGGCGCTGAAATCCCGCCTTGGAAGTGAGCTCTTCGGGAGTGCGCGGCAGCATCCCCATCACCTACCATAACTCTCACCTGGTGAATGTAGGGGAAGTCGAACTGGGTCTCACAGACAGGTCCCGGATTTATCGTATACGTCCGAGCTTCCCATCCTCACCCCGCCCGAGTCCTCGCTCTCTTCCCTATCCCCGCGTCCTCCCCAACCCCTAAACGTTGAGTCATAGTGTCAAGGTCATCACCAAGTTCTCAGCCTCCTTTTCTAGGTTTTGAGCTGCAGAGCGAGGGAGGGGCAACAACCTCTTAAGGAAGCCCCAGGCGGCATCTCGGAGTACCGAAGATGGGAACTTCCTGTGGGATCGGGATGGGTTGCACGTCTTCCACTGGCGATTTCAGGTGTCCTGGCTCCGCCCAGGTGGGCCAAGAGACCGGCTCCGCATCTCCCTTGCATCCAGCACCGAACGCCGAAGCTCCACACCACTGGAGCCTCCTGCGGGGCCCTGGAGCGCCCAGGAAGGCGCCGCTGAAGGAACCTGCCCCCATGGTCTCCTACTGTGTTATCTGTCCCAGAGGAAAAAGATGCCAACCTGGCCCCCCACGACCTCACTGGGACCTCGCGGGGAGGGAAAGAGACAAATCTTTGCACGACACTATGTTGTGATATTGGAAAGTACCTAAGACTCTGGCGGCACATATGAGGGAGTGATTACCTCCACTTGGGTGGCTCAGGAAAGAAGTCTGGCCTTAAATGAGGAGCAAGAGTTCACCAGAAAGATGGGGGTGGAAGGGCATTCCAGAAGGAGGCAAGGGCATGGACAGAAGCATGGAATGGAGGCTGCAACAGCAAAGCGCTGTTTGGGTTGGCTTCCTTCTTGTCATTTGGGCATCAGTTTAAATGTAATCTCTTCAACGTGGCTTTCTCTGACCACCTACTCCAAAAGAACCCTCCCGCCAGCATTTGGTTCTATTTCCTTTCTAGAATTTATCTATTTTTTTACATGCATTTGTTTTGTTATTTACCTCTCCGCCACACCACCCCTGAAAATAAACTCCATAAGCCTGTGGACAGTGGTTTTATCACCGTCCTCAGCATGCGTAACAGTGCAGGTGAACATACATTAGTAGGTGCTCAATAAATACTGTTGCATGGATGAATGAATGAATGAGTGGTTCGCGGCTGCCAGCAGTGAGAAACGAGTTAGGAGGCGAGAATTCCCTCCCCAGCCCTTAGCCTAAGCAACTCAAGGGAAGATGATAGCTGCAGAAGAGAGGGCTCGCTAGCAAGGGGGCTCGGGGCGTCGTGGTGCTGAAAGCAGTGGTGGGAGGCGGTGTCCCAGCTCCAGGGCGGCTTGAGGGAGGAGGGAACCGGCGGCGAGGAGCTGAGGGACCGGCGGTCTGGTGCAGTAACTCACGCTCGGCTCCAGGGTCTTTCTGCCTCCAGAGAGGCGACGGGAAGGAGGGTCTTCGCCCCCCGGGCGCCGCCTCTCCAGCCTCCTGCTAGGCCCTTTTGGATGCGTCCAAGCCTCATCCTGGGCGGTCAGCGGGTTTTGCAGGATTCCCTTGCCTGCTTCTCTCCCTTCCTCCCCTCCTCTTTTTTCGTCCTCCTCTTCTGGGTCTCTGCAGCTCTCTAGCCCCGCGGCCCCGCAGCAGCCTAGCAGCCCCCGCCCCCTCCTGTAAGGGCGAAATTGCTAAACTTGTAGCAATAATGACCCTGCATTCAGGCCGCCGACTCCCGCTGAACGTCTCCGCGCCCCGGCCGGCCCGGCCTGATCAGAGCTCCCCTCCCTGCTGCCTGCCTAGCCCCCGTCCCGCTTGCCGCCCCCTCCCCCAGCGCACAAAAAGTGGGGAACAAAACCCCCGCGCATTTCTCCGTCCCTCTGTTGAGCAGACTGCTGCACAAAGCCCCCGCTCTGAGAAGCAATGGGGAGCTCGGGGGGGATGTCAATCCCGACGCGCTGGGGTTTTTGTTCGCGCAGGGGACTTCGCCTTCCTACCACACCTTTTGTTCGGGACTCCAATAAAAAGCCATTCTTTCCGCACCTTCCCGGCCCGGAGCTGCCTTTCAGCGAGGCCCGGCCCCACAATGGCACGGCGCTCTGAGGCCTCCCCATTCACCCGCCTTGGCACGCTCACAATCGGCCGTGTGGCAGCACAGGCCTCGCACAGGCATTCTCCGCAAGTGACAAGGAGCCGCATAAAGCCGCGGCCGCCGGGGGAGAAGGGAGGGCGGCCAAGGGGGCGAACTCGGCCGCGGCGGGGCGCAGCGCAGCGCCCGCCAGCGCGCTGGAAGCCCGGGAGGCGGCCGAAGAAGGAGCCGCCTTCGCGCCGCCTACGGCTGGGCCTGGGGACGAGGTTTCCTTTTCCCTGGCGACCCTCGAGGTGGGGCTGAGTCAAAACCTTGATCTAACGCAAGCCCAGGCACTACCCAAGAACTGGGTAAAACTTAAGTGGATTAGAAAGCCCGGGACCTCAAAAGGCCCTGAGTCTCCGACCTGTCCTCCTCACAAGAGTAAAGAGAAATTAACGAACAAAGCCATGAGGAGATCAGATTTGCAGCCTGGGGGCTGACGCAGGGGAGACCAGGCCTGCTACCGTCCAGAGAGGACTGCTTTTCCTCAGGCACCTTTTCCTGCCCTGCCCGCCCTGTTTAAAGGATCCCTCCCCACTTTTCGGGGCTAAACAGTCTGCAGCCGGCCAACGGTTTGGAAATATTGCACCTTGTTTATTGACTCCTGTAGTGTATGGCAGCGGGTGTGTACACGGCGTGCGGATATAGTTATATATATATTATATGTGCTGAATACAGAATATGAAACAGAAAGGAAACCCGGTAACACCTCCGGTAGGCCACCAGGTCTCCGATTTGTTCAGCCCCCCAACTTCTGATCTCGCTCCACTGGCTTTTCTCGCAGAGTTCTGCTCCCCCTGACAACGCGGAGATCCAGGCCGAGGTATCTGCTGCGGACGGCAGGCGGTTGGAAAAAGGAAAATCGACTGTGGTGTGGCGCCCCGGGCCCGCAAAGGAGGCAGAGGGTCGGTGGGGCCTGGGGATTTCTCAAGCCACGACGCCCATTTTTCTCTCCTTCATGCCTTTTTTGTCCTTGGGTTCTTCGTCAATGCTTCTTGGAGGCCGCGGGAAAGCGGAGGGAGAGAAGCCCTTCTGGCTCTGGGAGAACCAAGCGGCAGCCAGAGTCCCAGCCTCTCGCACTCCCTTCGGGGCCAGGGTCGGGGCCATCGTCCACCCCGGAACCCAGCCAGCGTTTCTGCCTCAAAGACAGTCTCCGAGAGCGGTCCCGGGCATCCTCCTCGCCCCTGAGCCCCCTTCCCCAGGCCTCGTGTGAGTGGCGCTCCGCGGCCCTGGGGAGCGAGACGTGTATATATTTTTTAACGAGGGGACCTGGCCCTTGGATCCAGCCTTTCTCGCGCTTCAGTCCCGCGGCGCCAGGCTGCGGTGGGGCGCCCGCCGCGTGACCCGCCCGGTTCCTACCAGGCCCGGATGCCCTGCAAGGTGCCCTGCGCGCACGCGGCCCCAGCCGCGGCACCCTGGTGCAACGGCTGCGCGCCCCCACCGCTGCCGAAGCCGCCCAGGTTGCTCACGTTCACAAAGGGGCCGCCTCCCGCCGC